ACATGAATGATCACTTAAAAGCCTACTCAATCTAAAAATTGTTTACTCATGTCCCCTAGTCCTTTATAGTATGTGCAAACACCTGATATTATATGTTCTTACTATTTTAAATGCAAGCATGAGACCAGGATTCTTAATCTCTATATCAGATCAGTGCACAATTCTTTTTGTAAATCTTACCAAGTTTTCGTTGTAAATCATCTGCAATGAAATAATTTTGTTATTATTTTTCAATTAAAAATAGCGAACCTGTCACAACTAGGTTCTACTTGTATTGTATGAGTAATAAAAAGGGGAGACACAAAATGCTCATTTCTTCATAATAGCATACTATGGTGACAAAAAAACAAATTGTCACTCAACCTACAATTATATAACAGTTATTCCAGAAACAACCATCAATTTTTTAACACTAAAACTCTAAACTCTTGCAGAAAACTAATTGGGTTTAAACAGTATTAAAATCCCTCCTCGTACCATACACATTACATGTACACAAATTTATAATTAAGCTTCTCAGCAAAACCTTTTTTTTTTTTTTTTTTTTTTTTTTGATAAGTAAAAAGAAAAAGTAAAACAAAACCTTATAGAAAAACAATTTATCATCAAAAACACTAATAAATTCAGGACGTGTTAAGGGTTGAGCTTTAAATTTAAAGCATCAAAAGCAAGGAACTGTAAAGAAGCTACAAGTACTTGTTATCTAACAGAAATTATGAGAGAAAATATAAGGGTTCAATGAGCTATGCTTAAAAAGAAAGAAAAAAGAAAATAAATAAATAGATCAAAGAGGGTAGTGTGAATATTCATACACATTATTCATGTCTTTATCTATATACTAGTATAAATGCAAATTTCATTGTGACAATTGAGTGGTACGTATCTCATTTAATTACCGATCTCGTAGAATGTTGATCTTTCTATACTTCAAATAATACCTGGTTGAGACTGTCTTAATTGAACAGTACATGCTACATTTCATAAGACAAATGGTAAAATAATGAAAAATGTATATACACTGAAACGCTTCAGTCCTCGCTCTTTTTTATTTTTCAATTGTAAATAAATAATCACATTGATTGAGATTTGTATCATCATTCAAGTACCCCTCCACTTCAGAAATCTTGCCTACCACAAAATCATATTGTTCATTGTGGTAGGCAAGATTTTAGTTTATTCACAGCCAAACTCAAGGACTAGTGTTTTTGAATTGGAGGAGACTGATGTACGACAGAATTAGAATCCGTTTTCGACCTGAAAGGAGTATTGTTTTGGTGGAAACGACCCATTGAGAAAAAATATAAAGCCTTACCTACTGGGCCATGTCGTTTTGCGGCTGAAAACATTCGTTTACGGCTCTCAAATCACGTTTTCTTGTCTTATAGGAGGCTTGCTGATTATTTCATAATTTTTGTCCGAGGCCTAAATGAAGTCGGAATGCTCTGAGATTTTATATTTAGTCATTTTTATTGATTCCTTTCTTATTCTATTTTTTTAGAATTTTTAGAGATAATTTTATTTTAGGCTGATTTATAGGTTTAGTTTCTTTTTAGTGTTAGGTTTTCTCTATTATAAATATGTATACACTGCAAAAGCAGAATTTAACTTTTGATTAATAATATTTCAAATTGTTTTGTAATTTTTCTTCAACTTATTGCAATCAAAGTTACCCTACTTTGTGGATTCAAAGTAACCCTCGTTCCTTGTGAACAATTTCATAGCTTCCGCTATGTCAATCATTCAAGTAAAATACAGATTGAGATCGTAGAAACATAAGCTTGTGATATAGCTTCACCAAATTCCAGACCCTTTAATGCAAGAAATTTAAATAAAGAATCAAGATATCCCATGAAATATAAAAGAGCATTCATATATAGCAGAAAAAATTCCAACTTTCAGAACACTAAACAATTATGAAATATATCTTGTAACCCACCCACCCCCACCAAACAGTTCATAGAAAAATTATCAATGACAATTTCCCAATAGTTTTATAGGGATTGTCAATTACACAATTATTGATCCCAACAAAAACAATTGCATATAAAGTTCTGTATTCAAAAGAAAAAAAAGGAATGAGAAGGATTACCTCTACTCTGCTGCTAATTGAGAATGTTTGACAGTTTCCCACTTGCGCTAAAAATAAATAAATAAATAAAAGAGATAGAGAAGATAAAAACAGAAAACCTTCACGTTAGAACCTAGGAGTATATCAGAACATCATACAAAAATAAAAATAAAAATAAAAATAAAACATTATACAAAACACAATGAGAAAAGAACATTATACAAAATAATACAAGTCCTTTGAAATATAAATAATGCTTCAACACTATGTGAACCATTGGTGAAATTAGAAGAATGATAAATTAAACATGAGCTAACCGGTGTCAGATTCTGAGTCCAGAATTTATAGATTATAGCTTCAACTACTTTGTTGTTCAAAGTCTACTCCTTGAAAGATATATATATATATATATATATATACTTCATGATTTTATACAATATATATGATAGGAAATTGACATATTGAAGAAAGCAATGCATTGACAAAAAGATGTTACTTCCAATTTGTCTACCTGTGTCTTTCGATAGTTTTTTGATTGTCAATTAAAATCAACATTATATTACTTGAGAAATCAGAATACAGAGTGTATTTTATGCAAAAATAATAATAATAAAAAACACACACACACACACACAAAAATTTCAGAACATTATATAATAGTATGAAATCTAACATAACATATCTTATAACCCAAATTGATAAAAGAATCAACTTTTAAGGACAAACAAACTGCAAAAATAAGGGATAAAAAAAAAAGTGGGGGTATTGAGAAGGATCGCCTCTGTTGCTAATTGAGAGTGATTGATAATTTCCCCCGTGTTAAATATAATAATAATAACATAACATATCTTATAACCCAAATTGATAAAAGAATCAACTTTTAAGGACAAACAAACTGCAAAAATAAGGGATAAAAAAAAAAGTGGGGGTATTGAGAAGGATCGCCTCTGTTGCTAATTGAGAGTGATTGATAATTTCCCCCGTGTTAAATATAATAATAATAAATTTCAAAAATAATAATAATAATAATAAAAATAAAAATTAACCCAAATTATATAACAATATAATATTATATTCACATATGTTATATTCAAAATTGATAAAAGAATCGTTCTTTAAGGACAAGCATACCGAATCTGTTTGATTTAGGGGTCTGAAAAAGAAACTCAAGAAATAGTACCTCGTCTAAGAACTTTTACTCATGTTAGAAATAATAATAATAATAAATTTCTAAACGTTATACATCAAAAAAACAAAAAAAAAAAAATCACAAATTTCAGAACATTATACAATAATATGAAATCTAAAATTCCATATCGAGATTTTTAAGGACAAACAAACTAGTGAAAAAAAAAAAAAAAAAAAAAAAAGGGACAGACAAACAAAATAATACCGTGTTAGGGGTCTGAAAAATAAAAGTATTGCAGATAAAGCAAAATTATAAACTGAATTTAAACAGTAACTGCTAAAATAAACCATAAGAAGTAATTAAAAAAAAAAAATTTGAGAGAATTACCTCTCCTACTAATTCTGAAAAGACACAAGTAACGAGTTTCGAGAGGGGGAAAAAATTGAGAGGAATGTGAGGAATTTTAAGATTGGGAAGAGTTATGAAGAGAATAGAATTAGAAAAATAAAAAGGAAAGAGATATAAAAAAGGAATATAATAACTAAGAAAATTAGGATGAATTGTGGAGAAGAAAATAATTCTTGAATTTTAATAAAGAGAAAAGAATTAGAAAAAAAATTATAAAGAGTATCTTGAATGTAAATTATTTTTATTCAGAAAGATTTGTGTTTTTATTCTAAAATGAAAATAGAAATTATAATTTTTAATTTTAATTTTAATTTTAATTTTAATTTTAATTTTAATTTTAATTTTTTTTTAAGGTAAATTGCAGAGCTTGGGGAAGGGAATATAATTAAAAAATAAAATAATATATTTTTATTTAGAAAGATATTTATAATAAAGTTAAAAATGTATTATAAAAATTTTTAAACATTAAAACTCTTTGTACTTATAATAATAGATAGATGTAATATATATAGTATAGATACTGATATATATATATATATATATATATGTATGTACCACTGCATATATGTATGTCATCTATAAGTTGTATGAGGTTGAGGATGGAAGCGTAGATTATTGGTTGCACTATGCTTGTCATGTTATTAGTATAATTATCCAATCACATATTTTCTTGTTTTCAGCAATTTCATAAATAAATAAGTGAGTTTCTTTTTTTTAAATTGATGCTCTGTCATTGGGTAAATATACCAATGACTGGCTGGCAAGGCGTAATAATAAAAACTTAATCTGGTGAGAGTAAAGTCTCCACGACTCTGTGAAATATAAATGCAATTTTTTTTTTTTTTTTTTTTTTGATTGAAAGTATATAAATGCAAACTTTCGTTCTCTGGTATAAAATAAAATAAAAAATAAAATAAAACCTCAAATGAAATAAACAACAAAAGTGATCGTGTAAAATTCAGTTTACTCAAGTTTAGGGATGCAATGTGAGTTAGCCAATTCAAATTCAATCCCATTTCAACAATTATTTGTATAATTAGAATAAATAATTAGAGTTGAAATTAGACTCAACAGAACTCAAATTGTAATATTATTTTTATACATATTTTTTATTTTAAATATATATTATATTATATTCAAATTATGATCACCTTTTTCTTAAAAATTTGTTTGTAGTTTTTAAAAATTTTTCTTTCAAGTGACTTAAAGATTACTTTAACAAAATTTTCAATGTAGCAATTGATTACAGATAATTTGAACCATCCTTACTTTCTAACCCTAAATAGTTGCAAACCCGAGTTTAAAAATTCAATAATCAGTAATTAGTTGCAAACCCGAGTTTAGAAATTCAATAATCAGGATTAGAGGTCGGGTCGAGATTGGGTTATGGTAAAACAATTCATATGGGCCTGAATTGTACGAATTGCAACCCTACTCAAGTCACATCCTTAGTTTATAGCCTATTATAAAGTGAATAAAAATACTCTCCACTGTAATTTCAAAGTGCATAGAATCAAACTCAGCTATAAATCTAGTGAATGTCAAAATAGCGTCTTCTATGGTTATAATCAGATTTGGCGGACAAAATTATAGTAGACTTTATATGGTACTTAGTGAAAGTAGCAGAATAATATTTTAAGAATTGTGTTAGCTATACAACCTACAGCTTAGAAATATATATATATATATATAATATTAGCCTTGCCAAGCACCATCTGTGCCCCTACCCAATTTATTAAGTCCTAACCAATCTTGTGGTGGCAACTTTTTGAAACTTGTCCCTGATATATTAACTGGACCCACTTGGACCTTGAACACAAGTCTGACCCATTCCTGTCCCAACCAATTGTTGTTGTAGCTGCAGTTACGGCATTCGTTGCTGCTGCTGCAGATAGGAAACCGGTAGTTGTTGCTGCAGCTGTTGCGTCTGAGGAAGCAAATGTTGTTGCTGCATCTCCAGAAGCTGCTGTTGTAGCCGCAGAACCTGCTGTTGTAGCTGTGGGAGCTGTTGTGGTTGAAGCTGCTGCTGTTGTAAGTGTGGAATCTGCTGTTGTTGCTGCAGCTGGAAAAGCAGTGGTTGTTGCATCTGAGAAAGCTGCAACTGTTGCATCTGCAGAAGCTGCTGCTGTTGCTGCATCTGCAGAAGTTGCTGTTGTAGTTGCAGAACCTGGTGATGCAATTGCTGCTGTTGTGGCTGCGGACCGGATAGTTCTGGCTTATTAAACATGACCATATCCTACTCGCAGAACAATTATAGTGTAAGAGAGTTTAAGTACTGAGGCTAGAACCAGAAGTGAAATTCTGTGATCTGTATTGATATTATTACAGAATTAAAGATAAAAATATGTGCAATAATTTCTTACCCCTGGCAAAAGCAATCCAATCAAGCGGTTGACTTTATCAGAAACAGACAGCAGCAACGTCTGTGACGGTAACTGTATTACTCCACACTAGAGATTCATAATGACAGCCAGCATTAGTAATCTTGTCAAAGGAAAATGTCATGGCATGACACTGAAAACTCTTATCAGACTTCTCAAATAGACATATCCACCACCGTGCCTGACAAAATATGGCAATCAATATGTAGTTAATAGTTTCACTGGTTGATTCATGAGTCTGCCGAAAAAAAAAACAAGTCATCATCTCATATTGGAGAATACATATAAGTTAAATCAAGGTTTCATTTGTTAACTCAATGCGGCCTTTGGGTATTTCCAAGCAGCGAGCCTTGCATCAAATCCACACTAGTTAAAAAACTTTACATATTTATTATATAATCTACTAAATTTAGCATCCAGAAGTTGTTAGGTTTACAAATTAACAACCCAACCCCCTTCCCCAAAACATCCCTCCGAGTTTCAGTTAATGATAGAGCTTCAGAAGTACTAAAATCCTTTTTATAGCAACTCCAAAAAATATAAATCGATATAATATTGTCAAAATGGTGTTTTACTTGTACAAGTCCATCTAAGAAGAACATAAACTTGTAAGTAGGAACCATGTCAGATACTACCACTTCTAAAACACTCCTCGATGGCCTAGAATATTTCTATAATCTAAAAATAATATTTTGAATTCATGGTTAACACTTATTGGACATGCAAAAATGTAACTAATGGACCTTGAAAGTTGGAATGGCTTTCTTTTAGCATGGACAAAGTATACAATATAAGAAAATTTAAATTTAAATTTGTTACCAAATTGCGTAATTTGACCATATTTCAAAAACAGAAGATATAGGAAGGTTCTATACTTCTATTCAACAAGTGCAGAAGGAAGTCATCAAATTGTGTGCGCACAGCATGTGAGGCAGACACACATGAATATATATATATATATATATATATATAGTAGGGGTGGCAAACAGACGGGTCGGGTCGGTCAAATGGGTTGTGACCCATAATCAACCGCTTGTGACGGATCAAATGTGGTTAGGGTCAAACGGTTTGGGCCAACTTGAATGACCCAATGAACTGTTTTTATAGACTTTGAAGCTAAAAATCCAAGTTCAAAAGAACAACTTATTTATAAGGATTTGGTGATTATAGGCCAATTTCTCTATGTAATGTCTTTTATAAAGTCATTGCAAAGATTTTAGCTAATAGACTAGCCAAGGTTTTGGGGAAGCTTGTGGATAAGGAACAAACTGCCTTTATTCAAGGTAGAAAAATACAAGACAACATTATTATTGCTCATGAACGCCTGAGAGGATTTGGTGTTAACTGCTAAGAGAGCAAAGCCTACTTTGGCTTGGAAAATTGATTTGAGGAAAGCTTACGATACAGTTCAATGGTCTTTTTTGACAAGTATTATGAAGTTGTTTGGTTTTGGAAGCACTTGGATTAACTGGATTCAAGTGTGCTTAAGTTCTGTTTGGTTTTCCATTATTGTAAATGGATCTCCTAATGGTTTTTTTTAGCCTGAGAGAGGGTTAAGACAAGGTTGTCCTTTATCTCCCCTTCTTTTTACTCTTGTTACAGAGTATTTTTCAGGAATGATTGATGCTGAGATAAAGAGTGGTACTATTTTCCCTTCTGAAGCTGCAAACAAAGTTGGTTTACCTATCACTCACCAGTTTTTTGCTGATGGTCTCCTTGTGGTAGTCAGAGCTAATATGGCAACAGCTCTTACTTTAAAAAGAGTTCTGGATTTGTTTGAAGAAGTATCAGGTTTAGCTGTAAACAAAGACAAATCAGAATTGTATTCACTAGATCAGTCAAAAGAACAGCAGTGGTGAGGGCATTGGGATGCAAAGTTGGAAGCCTCCCTTTTACTTACTTGGGACTACTTATTTCTGATAAGATGTTGAGAAGAAGGGACTGTCTTAGTTTGATTGATAAAGTCATAGCTATTACTTCCAGATGGACTGGTATGCAAATATCTATGGCTGGGAGAGTGGAGCTTAGCAGAGCTGTCATCATTCCTATGGTTCATTATTGGACTTCAGTGCATACACTACCAGCTATGGTAGTTAATTTAATTGAAAGAAGAACGAGGAATTTTATTTGGGGGCATGTGGAAGACAGAAAGAAGATGCACGGGGTACGTTGGAAGAAACTTGCTGCTACTAAAGAAGAAGGGGAGCTTGGGCTGAGAAGAATTGTGGACATTGATTTAGCCTCAAAATGTAATTTGGCCTGGGATTTCTTACTGTCAAAGGACAGAATTTGGGTGGCATGGTATGAGAAGTGTTACTTTTTGGAATGTGGTACCTAAGGTAACATGTTCTTCTATCTGGAAGAGCATCATTGCAATACGAGATATTATCAAGGTGAATTGCAGGTATCGAATTGGGAATGGCCAGAACATAAAGGTGTTTTTAGACCCTTGGTGTGATGGTCAATTTTTGGGAGATTTATTTAGTCACTGTTGGGATATCTCAGCAGAAATAAAATGAGCTGCTTAAGTGAGTTCATTGTTAATAACCAATGGGATGATGAGTGTCTGATGAATAAAAATCAGGAAGTTATACAGGAGTTTCACAAACAGAAGATTTATGGTGGGGAGGATACTTTGAGATGGAAAGATAATTTCAGTTTTAAAGTGGCTTGGGAGGCCTGTAGAACTAAATTCCAGGTTGTAAGCTGGTGTGGGTTGTGCTGGAGTGGAGGAAGACCTAGATGGTCAACTAACTCAGTTTTAGTGATGCAGAATGCTGTTCTTACACAGTCCTATATGAAGAAGAAAGGTTTTTCTCTAGCGTCGAGGTGTTATCTGTGTTTATGCTATGAAGAAACACTGGACCACTTGTTTTGCAGTTGTGATTACACATGGAAGGTGTGGATTACTTTATCAGATGTTTGTGCTTGGAACTTGCAGAGATGTAGTCCAGGAGCCTGCTTTGCTGTTTAAACAGAAATTCCAAGGAAAGGGAAAAAATAAGATGGCAAGAATATTGTTCACTGCTACTCTTTATTTCATTTGGATGGAAAGGAATGACAGTGCATAATGATAAATTCAAAGAGTCACAAGATTTAGCAAAGGGTATTTTGTTTGAGGTTTTGGATGTCATGAGGGTATGCCTTCCAGACATCTTATAACATGTGTTTAGATTAAGATTTGCTTGTGATCCCTTGTAAGGGTGTGTTTTTGTTTTTGTGTTGTTTGGTGGGGGTATGCCCTCATTTTTGACATGGACCATATTGTTTATATTTTAATACAATCCTTCATTCAATCAAAAAAAAAAAAAAAAACTATCCCTCCTCTCTCTCCATAAAGATTTTTTTTTTTTTTTCGGAATGGATCCCGTTTTTCTAATTCATCATGCTATCATATCAAATACCAGGGCAAAATGAACAGGTGGTGGATCCGGATCAAACCAAATCCGATCTGTAAACACAACCCAAAATTTTACCACTGGAAAAATTACCTCCTTTTTTTTTTGATAAGTAGGAAAAATTACCTCCTCCTTCATTTGTTATTTATGAATTAAAATATAATTTAAATAAAGCAAGTGTTAAAATTGAATAGAGAAACAAAGTATGAAGAACACAAGGCAAGAATATATGTGGGGTTCAGCCAGGGCACACAAAGCCCAAAGGGCTACATAAACACAACCCAAATAAAGCAAGTGTTGGAATGGATCCCTTTTTTCTAATTCATCATGATATCATATCAAATACTAGGGCAAAATGAACAGGTGGTGGATCCGGATCAAACCGAATCCGATCTATAAACGCAACCCAAATTTTTACCACTGGAAAAATTACCTCCTCCTTCATTTGTTATTTATGAATTAAAATCTGATTTAAATAAAGCAAGTGTTAAAATTGAATAGAGAAACAAAGTATGAAGAACACAAGGCAAAATTATACGTGGTTCAGCCACTGGGGCTTACATCCACGACACACAAAGCCCAACGGGCTACATATCTTTTATTATAATAATCTCTTTTTTTATGCTTAATACAATAGTTAAGACTCATTTATATAGGAGAAGAAATACTGAGAATGGAAAGAGATAGATATAGGAAACACCATCAATACTGAAAGATTTTTCTTCACAAATTCCTCCAGTATCTTCAATAAAAAGGAAACATCAATAATGGAGGATTTTCCTCCATTGATTCCTTCAATAACAAATATAGCAGTAAATCTTCAACAATAGGAAAGAGCATCAATACTGGAAGATTTTCTTCCATTGATTCCTCCAGTAAATCTTCAACACTCCCCCTCAAGTTGGAGCATGAATGTCCAACTTGCCATTGAGATGACGAATAGTAGCAAGTGCAAATGATGAAGAGGTGTAACAAGATAACCTCAATAAAAATGGATCCAAATTAGATCCCAAGATGAGTAGCAGCAGCCTCGATTGATGAAAGGGTGTAAAAAGACAACCTCATTAAAAAATGAATCCAAAGATCCGAAACGAGTAGCAATAAAAATGGATCTAGAGATCCAAGAAGAGAACCAAGAATGGCTCTGATGAAAAAAGAGAAATGAACAAAGTACATTGGTTGCTTTGATACCATGTTAAACAACCATATCTCTGGGTAGTTAACATGGTATCAGAGCGTTTCAATCTCTGGTAAAAATCTACTAGTTTATCGTAGTCACCGCCGGGGATGGCACCATTAGCCCCATCCTCGGTGGCGGCAGTCAAACAACAAACTCACGCTTCCGCACTCCACGATCTTCATAAAGATTTTCATATGTCCTGTTCAGGGAAGCCTCGTTGTCTAAGTCTTTCTTCGGGAAATCCAACGAGATGCCTCGTTTAGAGAAGCCCCGCCTAGAGATGCCCCGTATAGGGAAGCCTCGTTATTTAACGAGATGCCTCGTTCAGAGATGCTTAACGTGTCGGATCAGCTCCGTTACCGTGCCACCATGCGCCTCAAGTGGTAATCCCGCTTTTCCATGCGCTTTCACGTGCACCAGCGGTAATCTCGCACCTCAACGTGTCGGATCAGCTCCGCCACCGCGCCATCAGTGGTCATCATGTGCTCACA